GGGGCTCTTTTCCAGATAAGCGCGTCAACATTGGCCACAGACGCTTTTCTGGGAAAAGGGCTTTTCCGGAAAAGCAGCCTGCCAATGTAGACGCTCCTTTTCTGGAAAAACTGAAAACGGAATAGTATTCCATTTTAAGCAGTTCCGGAAATTCATGCCAGTGTAGACACAGCCACCATGTATGTGATCTGAGACCAAGTGCTTTTCAGCAGAAAATGAGTCAGCAAGTTGTTCCAGCTCAGAGAACCAGAGGAGTACTGTAACTCAAGAAAATCAATTACACCAGGCGTGGGCAATAATTTTCACGGAGGAGAGGGGGGCACTTAATTAATTTTGGTACTTTGCCACAGGCACCCTCCTCTCTGCCCCCAGAAGGGGTGGGGTCTGGGATGGAGGGGACAAGGCTGGGGATTAGCATCTCCCCAGAGCTGTCTGGAATAAGGCTTGAAAATTAAAAACACAGCTACGGCCTTGCCACTCTGGGCCCTACCACTACCTCCTTGCCTTTCAGCTGTCCAGGGTTCCTGCAACTCTTTAAAGGGGTTGTGGTTCCAGCCCCTGGTGGGGTAAAGCCCTGACTGGGAGCCCTTTAAATAGCCACAGTAACACCAGGCAACTCCCAAGCAACATGGTAGCTGCAGGGCTGGGCGCTGGGAGCTCTTTAAATAGCAGCCATTTAAATGGCTTGCATCTTGCTGCCCCAAGCTGTCTGGCATTGCTGCAGCTATTTAAAGGGCACATGGCTCTGGCCCCCGCTGGGGGAGTACCATAGCTGGGAGCTGGGAGCCATTGAAATAGGATCCTGCTGCCTGAGCCTCTGCCTCGTAATTCGGTGGCATGGGCAGCGGAATATTAATAGAAAGCAGCCAAATGCGGTCCGCAGGCCGGATCACAGAGTTAGGAGAACTGATCAGACCCCAGGCTGCATCTTGCCCAGCCATGAATTAGACCCTCATATGGCTGATGTACCTTGTAGTAGGCATGTGTCTATCAAAATATCAGTATCCCAAACACCTTTAGGTGTGGCAAACCTGGTCTAATTTTAGTCAATGAGAATTTTGCTATCAATTTCAATGAGACCAAGATATGACTCAGTGACTTAGAAGAATGTTTTTAGCTAAGAAAACACATATCTGACCTATTTCTACTGTCTTAATTGTTTTCTAACTATTGTCCTTTTCCCTTGAGAAACTGGTAATGTCGAATATCCTTTTGAACCAATGCAGTCTTGTAAACGAAAGAAAAAATAATAATGCTACTGATAAGAATAAAAAGACTCTTCAACCACAGTCAGTAATCAGCCACAGTTTTTGCCCGAGTCAATGTTTTTTCTCAAAACCCCTAAAAAGTGAGAACATCACCCACAGTTCATAGGCTCAAAGGACAAGTAAATACATTATAGGGAAATTTGCATTGATCTAAAGCCTGCTCAAATCTGTGAGGCTCTTCAGATCAGTACATATGTCTATTTTCTTAATCACCATAGACTTCTCTCTTCTGGGCTATGACTCCAATATTAAATCCATGTCAACAAAGATCTGGCTTTGACTACTTTTTTTTTTAATAACAAACCTCAGCAGACCATCTCAAAACAGCTTTGATCTAGAACTAAGCTAAACAACTACTGCTACTTTTATATCCAAGGTGTTTGAAACATTAACTGCAGCCAGAGATATATTTTTCTATTTAAATTAGGTTTTAATATCAAATGTCTAATTTGCTTTGAAATGCGATCATTATGCAACAACCTTAATTATATTTTAAAATGGCACAGAAAATAGATGTGAAAATATCATTTAATCCTCTGTATTTCAAAGTCTCAAAAGCAAACCCAGCAAGGACTTTCCCCTCAGCAGTTCCTATTTTCAGCACCATGTGAACACAAGGTGCCTCTTTTTCTTCCATTCAAATCTTTGGGCACCAGGGTGAACATTATGAAGCTAACCTGCTCTGGAGTGTGTCTCAGATGGGCACTGGGATAGATAAACCTTGCTCTTATATAACACTTTTCCTTCATAGATTGCAAAGCACATTTCAAAGGTCAGCACAGTCATACCTGTTGTATGGGTAGGAAAACTGAGGCACCGAAGGGTGAAGTAATTTGCCCAGTGTCACACCTAGCAATCCAATGACAGAGTGGGGAATAAATTCCAGATTCACAGATTCATATTATAAGATCAGAAAGGCCCTTTATGATCATGTAGTCTGACCTCCCACATAACATTCCCAAATAATTCCTTGACCCGATCTTTTAGAAAAACTTCTGATTTTGATTTCAAAAGTGTCAATGATTGAGAATCTACCATAAATGTTGGTAAATTGTTCTGGTGGTTAATTACTCTGACTGTTTTATTTCAAGTCTGAATTTTTCCAGCTTCAACTTCCAGCCATGTGACAACTTTCTGTGCTAGACTGAAGTTTCCTTTATTAAATATTTGTGCCCTGCATAGGTACTTATAAACTATCACCCCATAACTTCCTCTTTATGCAGCTAAATGAATTGAGCTCCGTGAGATTAAGTATAGCATGTTTTC